GGCCGCCCCCCGCCGACCCGCTGCGCCAGGCCAGCCGGCTGCCCATCCGCGTGCTGAAGATGCTCAGCGCCCACAGCGGCCACCTCCTGCACCCCGAGTACCTCCAGCCGCTCTCCTCCACGCCCGTGAGCCCCATCGAGGTGAGCCCCGGGACCCCCCCCGAGCCCCGGGACCCCGCTCCGCGCCCCGGCTCCGCGCCCCGGCTCTCCCGGTGCCGCTTCCCCGCGCAGCGGCCGCTGCCGCTTCCGCACTGAGCCGCGCTCCCCGGGCTCCCCCCTGCCCGGACACCCCCCTGCCCGGCCTCCCCGCTGCCCGAGCACCCCTCTGGCTGGCGGCACCCGCACTGCCCCCGTCCCAGCGCCGCTTCCTGCTCCGTCCCCGTCCGCGCTGCCGCCCTCGCTCGGATAAGGGATTTTTTATATATATTTTGTTTGGGGTGGGGGGGGGTCGTTCATCCGGGTCCCCCCCCTGACGGGCGCCGCGCTCCGCTCCGCCTGCAGCTGGACGCCAAGAAGAGCCCGCTGGCGCTGCTGGCGCAGACCTGCTCACAGATCGGCAAGCCGGACCCGCCGCCCTCCTCCAAGCTCAACGCCGTGGCCGCCGCCACCGCCGCCGCCACCGCGCTGCCCGCCGCCGACAAGGACCCCGCCGCCCGTCCCGCCGCCGCCAGCAGCGCCAAGCCGCCGGGCGACGCGGCGCCCGAGGACAAGTCAAGCTTCAAGCCGTACTCCAAGGGCGGCGGCGAGGCGCGCAAGGAGGGCGCCGCGGACAAGGCCGGCTTTCGGGTGCCCGCCGCCGCCTGCCAGCCGTTCCCCCCGCACGCCGCCGCCGCCGCCTCGCCGGGCGCCTCGCCACAGCACGCCGAGCCCAAGGGCACCGACGACAAGAAGGAGGCCGAGGCGGGCAAGGGCGGCGCGGAGGGGCCGGCCGGCGAGCCGCCGGCGTCGGGCCGCAAGTCGGAGCCGCCCAGCCTGCCGCAGCCCGGCGGCCACGTGGCGCCCGTGTCGCCCTACAAGCCGGGCCACTCCGTCTTCCCGCTGCCGCCTTCCAGCATCGGCTACCACGGCTCCATCGTGGGCGCCTACACTGGCTACCCGTCGCAGTTCGTGCCCGCGCTGGAGCCCGGCAAGCCGCCGCTCATGGGCGGCCAGCTGCCCGGCCCGCTGGGGCTGCCGGGCAAGGCGGCGAGCTCGAGCCCGCTGACGGGCGCCTCGCCGCCCTCCTTCATGCAGGGACTCTGCCGGGACCCCTATTGCCTGAGCTACCACGGCGCCGCCTCGGCGCTCGGCTCGGGCGGCTGCTCCAGCTGCGCGCACGACAGCGGCGGCCTCAAGAGCGGCTACCCGCTCGTGTACCCCGCGGCGCCGCTGCACTCCGTGCACACCACGCTCTCCTCGAGCGCCTCGGCCAGCCTGCCCGGCCACCCGCTCTACACGTACGGCTTCATGCTGCAGAACGAGCCCCTGCCGCACATATGCAACTGGGTGGCGGCGAGCGGACCGTGCGACAAGCGCTTCGCCACCTCCGACGAGCTGCTCGCCCACCTACGGACCCACACGGCCCTGCCGGGCGCCGAGAAACTCTTGGCGGGTTACGCGGCGGCGGCGGCGCCGTCGGCACTCGCCGCCGGAGCCTCGTGCCACCTGCACTTGCCGCCCGCCGGCCCCGGCAGCCCCACCACGCTCGCCGGGTCGCTCTCCTTGCGGAGCCCACACACTTTGGGACTCAACCGGTACCATCCATACGGCAAGAGCCACTTGCCGGCGCCCGGCGCGCTGCCCGTGCCCTCCTTGCCCGCTGCCGGACCTTACTACTCGCCGTACGCACTCTACGGCCAAAGACTCACGTCAGCCTCCGCACTCGGATACCAGTAGCCGCAGCCTCTTCCGCAGCCACCGCCAGCCCGGGGGGCTCTGTATTTATTTACTGTATGTTTAGCTTAACGCTGGGAATATAAGTGCATTAACACCCCCAGGAAGCGACGGTATGCAAAAAAAAAAAAAAAAAAAAAA